ACACACACACACACACAACCATCATTATACACAACCTGTTCTACACACACACACACACACACACACAACCATCATGATACACAACCTGTCCTACACACACACACACAACCATCACGATACACAACCTGTCCTACACACACACACACACACAACCATCATGATACACAACCTGTTCTACACACACACACACAACCATCACGATACACAACCTGTTCTACACACACACACACACACACACAACCATCACACGATACACAACCTGTTCTACACACACACACACACACACACACACACACACACACACACACAGAGGAGACCTTTAGTCTGGCCTGAGACCAGGACTCACCTGCTCCGCTGGGGGTCTCAGTGGCGTGGACCAATAGGATGTCAGGAGAGGCTGCTTTGACGTCCGGCCCGTCCTCGTCCTGAGACAAACAGAGGACAGTCAGACTGGATGAAGCACAAAGGCCAGAGGTCAGAGGTCAGGACCGTACCTGAGGCTTCATTGTGATTCTGTGGAGGATCTCCTGCCGGTCGGTCAGTAGCACCTCCTCCTGCTGCTCCCTGCTCCTCCTCTTAGGCTCCGCCTCCTGCTGGAGACTGTGACAACTGCAGAAGAGACGGCGTCACTGACTCCGTTTGTCTGTCCAGGTGAAGGTGGACACATCTGTCTTTGTGTTTGTCTCACCTGTCTCTGGTCTGGTCCTCCTCATCCGGTCCAACTGGATCCTGAAGACGATAGAAACAGAATGAGATCGGAGGAAGTCTTAAAGACACAAGACACAATAAACAGGCTGAGAAGCAACCAGTTACCTGTTGTCTCTTCTTTGCTGGTAGAACTGGAGCAGGAAGTAGCTCAGGCGAGGGGGCGGAGTCTAACGTCTGTTTGTCCAGGTGTGTACGTGCGAGGCCGTAGGTGGTCTCCAGGTCTCGCTGCCTGCTACTGAAGGTCACAGGGCGCTGGTAGAACATGGCTGCTGATTGAGCGCTGTAGGACGAACAGAACTGGAGGTACTGGTGGACTGAAGACAGACAGACAGGTGGAGAGACAGACAGAGACAAATCAGTGGAGGAAAACCCGTCTGGCCTCAGCTTTGATTTCCGTCTATTTGTTCTCTGTTTCTTATGTTAGTCCAGTAGGTCTAGCCTAGCTTAACACAAACACTGGAAGCAGTGGTTAATCGTGAGCCTAGCTTAGCACAAACACTGGAAGCAGTGGTTAACTATTATCGTAGCTTAGCACAAACACTGGAAGCAGTGGTTAATCGTTAGCCTAGCTTAGCACAAACACTGGAAGCAGTGGTTAATCGTTAGCCTAGCTTAGCTCCTAAAGACTTCACACAGTTATTGATTATTGTTTATTTTTACTCACTGTGTCGTTTCTTCTCAGGGAGGGGGGGGGGCGTCTTACTGGGAGACAAAGGGGAGGAGCATGACTCATCAGGTCCAATGACATCTTCACAGTGGGCGGTGCTCTGGGTGTGGGGGGCAGAGTCAAAGCCAAACGAAGACACGGCCTGACAGACAGTTCCTGTGATTGGCAGACAGACAGACAGACAGATAGACAGACAGAGAGAGAGACAGAGAGAGAGACAGAGAGAGAGACAGAGAGTGAGACAGTGAGGACTACCTGGACATGGAGACAGGTCGATACAAGAACTCTCTAAAAGAAAGAATCAAACTCCAGTTAAACTAAATATGTCATAAAATTCAACAACAAGATCCCACCTGGTCTCACCTCAGGTCAGACAGACAGACAGACAGACAGACAGACCTGCAGTGCTGCAGCGTCTCTTCTCTGGCAGGGCAGGGGGGAGAGGAGGGAGAGTCTCAGAGGACGACAGGTCAGTATGGAGGAAGTCGTAGTCGGGATCATCCTCTGAGGACCAAGAGAATCATGACATCACAGTAACTTACAAATATAAACATTAATAAATACAAACATTATTAAATATAAACAATAATAAATATAATGAATAACAATGATGATAATAATAAAGACTCCAGCAGGAGGCAGCAGTAAACATCACCACAGACAGGAAAAGACAAAAAACACTACTTCTTCTTTCTGTCAACTGACAGGAAATGATGTCATTCACAGCCTGCTGCTGACTGGAAATGTGTGTGTGTGTGTGTGTTACCACAGTGTGTGTTCTCAGCAGTGTCAGCAGATGAAGAAGAGCAGCGCTTCAAACACTCGTCCTCCTGTAACACATATGTTTGACATACATGCTTTATACTTCTACATTTGTTTCACACTGTTACATAAATGTACATGATGCAGTACTAATACTGCTAATTTACCCAGTAGTATACAAAGTATCTCAAACTGTCTCCACATTAAAGTACTGCTGCATGTATCCTCACAGAGCCTGATAGATGATTCTATTAGAACCTTCTGAACTAGACTTCCTCTCCCTGTAGAAGTCTATGAGAAAATGACTCTACTTCTCTCTTGATTTATTACCTCAGTAAACATTGTAAACATGAGTTTATGGTCTCAATCTCTAGTTTCAAGTCTTCTTCACTACAGCATGATGTTCATTTAGTACATTATGGTCCATTTAGAGTCAAACAGACCATAAAGCAGGGGATGCTTTAGGGCGGGGCTACACGGTGATTGACAGGTCTCTACTACGGCATTGTCCGTTCTGGGAGTTGTCTGTGTTTTTGTCTTAGAACTTTAACCCTTTCACAGTGTGTTTTCACACATTTTTGAAGTGTACTTAGCTCCACCCTCTTGTGTCACTTCTGGTTGAAAAAAAACAAGATGGCGACATCCAAAAACCATGATGGGTGCGGCCAAAAACCAAGATGGGGACGTCCAAAAACCAAGATGGGGACATCCAAAAACCAAGATGGGTGTGGTCAGAAACAGAGATGGGGACGTCCAAAAACCAAGATGGGGACTGCCAGAAACCACGATGGGTGCGGCCAAAAACCAAGATGGGGACGTCCAAAAACCAAGATGGGGACTGCCAGAAACCAAGATGGGGACGTCCAAGAACCACGATGGAGACTGCCAGAAACCAAGATTGGGACGTCCAAAAACCAAGATGGCCACTGCCAAGAACCAAGATAGGGACGTCCAAAAGCCAAGATGGGGACGTCAAAAAACCAAGATGGGTGCGGCCAAAAACCAAGATGGGGACATCCAAAAACCTGTGTGTAATTATTGGATGTAAACACTGTGTACCTGTTGCACCTGTTTGTCGACTTCAGGCTCTCGTCTCATTGGTGCTACTATGGCGA